GACAACGACGACGACAACAACAACAACAAAAATAACAATAAAATAAAGATCAATGACACCTGCTCAGCTGTAAAAACAGCTGATCATGATGATGATTAAGTAATAATAATGTGTGATCTATGCATAGTTTGAGTAGTCTAGTCTGTTTTCTTATCTTACTGATTTTAGGACAGAAATAAACAAACAAAAAAAATGGTTTTTTCTCTATTTTTCTTCTTCTTATTTCTGTTACTTAGTTAAACAGAAGTTATTTCGAATTCGTTTACATAATACATAGATTGAATTTATATTAAATTTCTTAAAATAAGGTTAAATAGTTACGATGTCACTTCATTTTGACATTGATATATTTTCTTTAGAATAAATCAATAGGTCAATTGTTTGTTATTCAACAGTAGTTAAGTGAAATTACATTTTCTGATCTAACAATAAATATTTACTGGTTGAAATCATGAGTTAATTGAAGCTAGACTACCATGGAAAACCTGGATACACTGGACGGCCGTTTCGTCCTAGTATGGGACTCCTCAGCAGTTAGCATCCACGATCCCGCCTCTCGCGAGAAGTCGTTACCAATGGAGTTCAACCAGGTATGTTGTAAGATATAAACTCACTGAAGACAATGGTGTACGGTGGCGCAACTTCATGGATTGGTTGAAGTTAGACATTAACACCGTTGGATACCGAACGGCTCAGTGGTCTAGTTTGTTAAGCGCCTGGCGCGAGACTGATAGGTCCTTGGTTCGAATCTCGCGGGGGGGCGGGATCGTGGATGCGCACTGCTGAGGAGTCCAGTGATAGGACGAAACGGCCGTCCAGTGCATCCAGGTTTTCCATGGTGGTCTAGCTTCAATTGACTCATGATTTCAACCAGTGAAATTTCTAAAATCTCCGCAAAAATCATTCTGATAATAAATATTTAATCGATTAATAGCAGAAGGGTTTTTGTGCGTGTGTGTGTGTGTGTAGATATTATTAGTAATTTTAGCAGTTGAGATCATGAATTAATTGAGGCTAGACTACCATGGAAAACTTGACGCAAGACCGATAGATCTTGGGTTCGAATCTTGTGTGGCGGGATCGTGGATGTGAATTGTTGAAGAGTCCCACAATAGGATGAAATAATTTTTGTAAGTAGTTAGTTTCTACGAATTTTATTTGTATTCAGTTCATCTATTAATGTTTTCTGTCAATTTTCTTTAATATTAGAAGGGGTTTTGTGGAGATTTTAGTAATTCCAATAATTAAAGTTAGACATTAACACTGGTCGGCTCAGTGGTCTAATGGTTAGGCGCTCGCGCGCGAGACTGATAGGCCCTGAGTTCGAATCTCGTGAGGCGGGATCATGGGTGTGCACTGCAGAGGAGTCCCGTACTAGGACGAAACGGCCGTCCAGTGCTTCCAGATCTTTTATGATGGTCTGGCTTCAATTGCCTCATTTTAAGTTTAAAGTTTTTTTCTTATACACAATAAATTACGTCTTGATAATGAAATTCAGTTTACGATTGTGTAATACAAAATATGGGTGCAAGGTCTTTTAAGGTTTTCGATATAGTTTCATCTGTAATAGAATAGTTTTCCCATATCAGTTCCCAGTATTTGAGGGATCATTGAAAGCATTCAGAAGTTAAGTGCATCACTATTTTTCTTCTACAATTCCGTTTGGAACTTCTCTAGGGCTACTACTGGTTCTAAGCCCGGTTAAACGAGGAGGGTCGGAAATGGGGTTAGAGACCCCATCCTGTAGAAAACTAACTCGCTAAAAAGCGCTAACCAGAGAAAAATAATTCAAACCATTTAAACTCTTCCTTCGGAGTTAGATGGTCTTTATTTAGAAGAGTTATGACGCCTCATGGTGAAAGCCGATTTGCATCGGAAGTAATGAGGCTGATGCCCCTTCTGATAATCAGAGCAACCATTAATTTAGATACATGGAACGCTCGTACAATGTGGAGACCGGAAGAGTCGTCCAAATTGCTGCAGAAATTTTTCGCCTACTAATCGTTTCACAATAAAACCTTTGTATAACTATTTTGCATTTTTTGGAAGGAAAATAAATCCTAAGGAGCTATATCTGGTGAGTAGGGAGAATATTATAGCATAAACCGAACAGCATCAAACAAATTTGCTTGTAGACTACCCCTCAAGTTGTTGAGAATTCCCACAGTATTTATTTTAACCATGGTGAACAACACAACGAACTGTTAAATTTTCATAGATTAAATCATGGACCGATCTTAGTTAAACCCCTGATGAAAACCGGAAAGTATTGGACAGCTGTTTCGTTCAAGTATAGGACTCATAAGGATTGGATATCCACGACTCCCACCATAAGGGATCAGACTGAAAACCTTCGGTCTCGCTTGACATGTAGACTACTAGGTTAAATCAAAATTCCATTCAGTGTTTTTCGATGTTCTAAAGAAGTTCGGTCCTGGATATAAACTATGAAAATAATACGAACACTAAAAATTACGCAACATAACCTTGATCTTTGACTGACTTTTGTGACATTGTCGTTCATGATCCTTACCTTACTTTCGATTTCTTGCTGTCAGATTTCATCTTTTCGTCATGGTCATATGATTAAATGTTTTATTTGTCCGTTGTAACAGATTGCAATCTGAAGAACATACAACCATACCATTCACACTGGCTATATGTTATTTATAGAACCAGGCAGATCATTTATGGTGTGAACCTGTAATGATTAGGAGTATTCGAATTATTGTACAAATTAGGAATTCCATAAATAACGCAATTCAACAAAGAAGAACTAATATGAGCACGAAAGAACGTATTGCATTTGGGATTCGAAATAAGACAGTCATCAAGTACAAAGGAATTATTAGTTCATACAAACACCACAGAACCCGTCTACTAACTTTACATTTAACTAGCTTTTATCACAATACAACGGATTAATCAAACTTCGAACGGAATTTCAACTAGAAATATGGTTGAAAAAAGAGGAAAATTATTTAAAGGATAACTTAATGCTTTAAATATATGAGCCAATTGAAGCTAAACCACCATGGAAGACCTGGAAGCATTGGATGACCGTCTTGCTCTAGTGTGGGACACTGAGCAACCACGACCCTGTCTCGCGAGACTCGAACCAACGACCTATCAGTCTTGCGAGCGTCTAACCACTAGATCACTGAACCGGTGGTCTCCAAGAGGTATTTCCTGGAGTTCTATTGAGCTGTGACCAATGGAGTTCAATCAGGCCTGTTGTGAGATAGTAACTCATTGAAGACAATGGTGAACGGTAGCTCAGTTTCGTGGATTAGTTGAAGTTAGACATTAACACCGTTGGATACTGGCTCAGTGGTTAAGCACTTGCGTGCGAGACCGCCAGGTCCTGGGTTCGAACCTCGCAGGGCGGGACCGTGCATGCGCACTGCTGATCCCCATACTGGGACAAAACGGCCGTCCAATGATTCCAGGTTTTCCATGGTGGTCTAGCTTCAGTTGGCTCATGAATTTAACTATTAAAATGCTATAATATCCACAAAAACCCTTGTTTGACTATATATTTCACTAAGAGAAGCTATTCAAGGAAGTTTTCCACAAAATGGTCAATGGAATACATTACTTTTAAATCATGTGTTTAGATTTATGCTTTTCTGGGTACAACGCATATAGGCCGTAGCCAGTGCTTGCTTCCAACTCGGATACGAAAACATGTCCCAATAAGATTCTACAAGGATGAGAGGAAAGCATTTAAAAGTTATATTCTTGAACATTTAATCGTCCTACTGATCCACAGGTTGATTTTGAGGTTGTTTACACAATTCCTCTAAATCTACCCAGATTTTTTCTTATCCAACTCCTTAAAACAGCAGAAGCTCTTACCATCCATGAGCTCAAGCCAGAACTGCGCATATAAACAAAGTATGTCGTATCGTTATCTTGGCCTTAATCTATTATTTCATTCCGAAGTTGAAAATATCCTCCTCTCCATTTACTTATGTCTCATATCTTCATGATATCATTTATAATTCTTTCGGATATCACTTCGTTCAACTTTGCGCCTTGATTACCTTTAGTTATTGTAACAAAAACATTTTAATCATCTTACTTCATTCATATTATAATCCGTTGTTAACTTCTTAGTTTCTATATGTACACACACAATCTTCTATTGTAATCATCCATATTACACAATCTAATAATGTAATTTTACTACATTATCATATTTATTCCTTATTCATATGTCCTCATGGAACTAGTACTTTAAAAAAATTTCATACACATACATGATTGTACAGCTTGTTAATAAATTCGTTGAACTTCTTGTTTTCTATATATACAATAAGTTTAACTCAATTAACAATGACGAAACAAGAGGAACGATTTCTTAGAGCTAATCAATAAATTTCAATATTTTAGAACCGATGAAAACCATGATGGGTTGGATAGCTGTTTTTTTCTTGTTTGAAATCCCTAGGCTTCTACGAACCTTTAATGGTCTTACGAAAAGAGTGTTATCTTTCGACTTTCTTTTTACGGGAAACATTCAAAATGTTTTTGAAGTCAGCCTGGTCCTATGTTGTAGCTGACTTAATAGCCAAAATTAGTATAGAGCCTGAAATATGCGTTAGCGTAGCAAAAAGAAATTAACGAGATAAATACCAAACGAGTCACAACGATATTAGTCCTGATAATAGTGAGACTAGAAGTTGAGGATATGGTTCGGAAAGGAATGAAAAGACCTAGAGTAGGATAAAAGGTAAGGCTGAACCGTTGTCCCTAAATCCGAGCCCAGTTACTCAACGTTCTTAGCCACTGGTAGTGATTATAACATGGACCTTAACCACATGTATTCCATGCCTACCAACACAGCTAAGTTCAATACTCAACAATTTCATGGACTAATGTCTCCGGTTTTTTTTACCAATCTATTCGTATTTCAGACAATAGTGCGAATTCAAGTAGACGGTAGTCAAGCATATTTAAAACGTAATTGTGTTTTTAGAAAGAAACAAGTTTTCAAATGATCTCGGAGATAAATTCTATTAAAAAAGTGACGACTGATTTTGCTGGATGCAACAAAATGATTAGAACCAATTGAAAAAGATATCTTTATAAATAATTATACAATTTTTTTGTACAAATATAGGAACTGTAAAAAACATTAATAAAAGGCATAGCTATTTTACTCTCATTTTTATTTGACGTGAATGGGCAGGCGAATTGGGTGTATCATTGAAAAATGGAGTGTCTACAGGACGAGTTTTTAAACGAGACCTTTTATCATTTTTATGTGTTGAATCAGAATGTTTGGAAATTCTATCCGATGGCATTTCAGAGTGTTTCGATGAAGTATGTTTATAAGATTTATGTTGCTGGTGATGTTCGTCATGATGACGATTGCTATGTGATTTCTTTTGTAATTTATGCTTGTCTTTAGAATGTTTCCTCTTTTTACGATGCTTTTCATCATTTGAACAACTCGACTCTGATTCACTACTACTACTACTATCACCACTAGATGAACTTGAAGAAGACGATGAAGATGAAATTGATATATCATCTAAGACGGATGATGATAGTTTATTCTTGGATTCAGATTCTTTTTTTGCCAGAGCTGAATCACGTGATGCTTGTAAATGTTCACGAAGGTCCAAGGTTAAACCACCTAAACCAATTGTGGTTAAAAAATTAATAGCAAATCGTGTATCTTTAGGATTATCACGTGGTAGGAGACCAGCAAAAAATGGCTGAAGTGTTTCATCACGAAGTCTTGCTTGTAACTTCGACAAGCCCATAAATGAGCAAAGTTCCAGAAAAAGGTGCTTGAGAAATATACGTCCAGAAGAAGTTGTATCACGTTCATTCAAACGTACACATTCAAATACACCCCATGATATAGAATCAGAGTATAAAAGATGGGCAAACAAGAAAGCAACATTACGTAATTTTGCAGTTTCCAATCTATGAATAATTGAGTATTGTTCAGAGAAAATCTTTTCAAACTGAGCAACATAACTACGGGGTGGACCTGATTCTTCTACAACCGGTGCAGGAATTTCTTCTTTCGCTGTAGGCTTACTGACCTCTTTATTACTTCGATATCGGCTACCGGGACCTAAGTCGGAGCTTACAGAAACAGTAGTAGATCCCGTGCTGGATGGGGTACTAGATGGAAAGACAACTCGGCAAAGCCTTTGAGCTAATCGACCATAACGACTTTCATAACTACGTGTTTGAGCACAACAATCTAAAACCATAGAAGCTACTTCATACTCTTCTCCAGGTTTAATTTTCAACTGCAGAAGACGATGTCCAGCTTCATCTGCACTTAAACTACTTTGCAGCATCAAGTAGATGGTACGACGTAGGTGGACTAGATTTGTTTCTGTTTGATCAATAATTGTTTGTTGATTCTCTGCAGTTGCAGCGGCACTACGTTTATGTTCTTCATCCTCTTCATCACCGTCATCATCTTCATTACCTGATTCGTCTGAATCTTCACCTTCATTTTCACCATCTGACTCAGCTTCTGAATCTTCATTCGATTCAAATAATGCTGCTCTGATTTCAGCATACTTTGCTTCATTTGCCAAGAATTCTGGATCGAATTTAAACACATTCAAATGTTCCTCTGGATCTACTTGATCAAGAAGTGAAGTTGTATGAGTGATTTGATCACTTTCTTGAATTAAATCAAGTTCTGGCAAGACAATCGGATGATCTTTCCATCCATCACGACGAATCTGCACGAAAATATGTAAAAAAATATAATATCAAATTTTTTTTATCACTGAGAAATCTATTTGTTTATCAGGATACTCATCTAACTTAATTGCAAACATTTACTTATATTTTTAAAATACCATTCGTCCTCAGTTTTGAGCAGTCAAACAGAGAGAACGTATAGCTAAACAATTTGGTGTTATATGTCCATATAACTCAAAACCATATCTACAAGAAAGTTCCCTAAGGCTACGGACTAAGCAAATTGTTTTGGAAAGATTGATGTGTTGTGTTTAAGGATTCAATCGAGTCCCTAAATACAGACTCTTAAAAACTTGACCAATCAACTATGGGGTGGGAGAAAACGAAGAATATAAGTAGGATTACTGTCAAAGTCGAAAAACATTTAACACAACTTAAGTGTATAATATAAGTTACCAGGCTGAACAAGACAGACATGTTAGCCTTGACCATGGTCAGGTAAGTAGTCCACTTACTCAAAATAAACCATCCACACTTTCGTCTCTCACCTATCATTTGATTCTGGAACAACATGTGATTGAGTTAGGTTTGGCATTCATATCATGTATTCGGCGGCCTGCTTGAGCATCTGGGCTACCTGTTCCTGTCATCTAGATATTTCAACAAGTTATCTATTTTTGTTTGTTTTAATATATCATTATGTTTATTAATCGCACAACCTATTCTGCTGCGTTTCTGAAAAGTGTACAACCTTTCGTTGTCAAAGTTACAAACAACTCAATAAGAGACAATGTGGTTGCTGGCAATATACAACCAAAAGAATGCATATTATTCAGATGTTCATTTAGTGAACTGCTAACATCTAACTGGCGATCACTCAATATTTATCGCCAGGACCGACGAAGAAGAAAGAAACGGAAACTTGTTGAAATACTTTGCGCTGAGAATTCTATATTGTACCAAAAATATAATATTGAATAAAGCTGATAATAATAATAATAATTATTATTATTATGAAGCTATATTTCCCTGTTAAGATCACGGTTAATTGATTCAATTATTATGAATGGTCTAGTACAAACCAACAGTATTAAAACACGTATAGAAAATATTTGTAAAAACACCATCCAAACCAACTGAATTATCAGTTGATATTCATTTGAAAGTGAATTCACGGCCAAGAAGCCAACAATTTCAAAGTTAAAACTCATAACGTGTGCTAACGCATAACCGTTTTTGTTTGTTGCACTATACTACTTGTCGTTATTCAGTAGTTAATATTATACTCAACCATTTCCATGACATGAGTGTTGAAACTAATATCTTTCTGTAACAACGAACTATTACTAATAGAAATCATTTGTAACCATATTTCTATGATTTAGCTCATTTTACACTCGCAATAATATTTCTTCCTATTTTTACTGTTCGATCTATATTGCCCCTAAATGCCCCGGTATGGCCGAGGGTGGAGAAAGTCCGCTCTCCCTCTCGAAATGCTCTCGCATGGCCACGTATATACAACCACTGCCAGGGAAGAACTACTCACCGCCTTCTCGCAGCATTACTGTTATTTACCAAATTGAGAGGACCAAAAGCGAATTCCGGCGCTCTAACCGGGTTGTTGGGTATGGAGTTGGAAAACCCTGATTCCAAACCAATGGCGCACATGGGCTCCAGTATCATGAAGGAACAAATGTCGTGTGAACCCATTGTTGGTCACAAGCTACCATGGTACTGCATCTCCTCACGCTTCTCGATAGCCTTGTAGACCAGACCTTTAAATCGAAGACTCGGGGTGTGGCCCTCTAAGAAAACCACCTGCTTCGGCACCCGGGCAGTATTATAGTCTACACACAAATCAAGTTACTAGTGTGGCGCATATGTAATTGGTGCTCTTTTGTACCAATATTTATGTGTTCAAACAAATAATAAAATAATAAAACGATCTATATTTGTTTGCAACTCCTTGAACCTTTGTGCCTTGATTGGCTTGTCCTATTTTTGAAATACATATGAATCATTGTTACCTGTTTGAAGCAAACGTGTGATATCCTACCGTTTATAATATATGATATAGATTTCTTCTTATTTTAGGTTAATAACTTCTTTTTGATTAAACTTTGGATAATAAAATAGATATCTAAATACAATATGACTCGGGTTTTGTAACTTCATATTGTTTATATTATCCTCTAAAATAGTATCATATTTTCAGACGAATTTCATCTTTTAGTCTTGGGATTATATGACTAACTACTCGGTTGTGGGGCTATAAAGGCACAACAAATTTCACATGAATATACCACGATAAACAGATATACACACATCAGGGAGATTAATTACTTAATTAAAAAGTCGAATTGATTCAACGATAAATAGATTTTATGTCATATTCTAATTTCAGGTCATTTTTGTGAAACCGCATGAATCCCAGTAAATGCAGACCATGAAACTATTGTGAAAATTTAATCATAGCCACTATCCAATTTGACTTAAAGATGCTTATGAATAAATGACAATATCGAGGCAATCTGCTGAGAATGCCAACATAGACTGATCAATTGTAGTTTTTAACATTAACAAGGGGAAGAATATTAATACAACCTTTACAAATGGAATAATTCAACTTGTTTTAATTAATTAGAGATGAAACCTATGATGGTTTCCCTTACTGAAACAATAAAAGTTTTAATAACAATGAGAAGTAAAGTCAAAAACCTCACCTGAAACATAACTTCTAACATATAAGAAATACGTTTATCGCATTGACCTTCATTTAAGATACGTCGAAGATGTTCGAAAATTCCATGGACACCTTTCGGTACAAGACGTGAAAGCATAGCACCACATTCTTTAAGGACAGATACTGCCACTTCTACACTGTCATCGGTTGTTTGCTCCAGTAGTAGCGTCAATAATTCCAGGATTATTAATTCATGAACAACTTTTTGGTTGACCAAATGAGCTAGAAATCGTGCAGTAGACAAACATCGATCTTTCTGATTACGTCGAAATGCTTTACGGAATTCATTGATTAATCGTTTAAGAACCAGTTCTCCGACCTGGTAATGACGATAATAAAAAGACAATTGATAAAGTGCTGGATTTCACCTTATTTTATTTTAACACATAGACATTGGTACAAGGAGGCACCAAATACAAATGCGCCACACAGATCTCATTTGATATGGATTTCACTATATTTGCATGGTAATAATAATAATTGAATAATACGCCGAAATTATACTACAATTGAAGATGTAATTTTTAAAAATTACTCCATGGTTTCTGTTATTTTGCAGTTGTTCATCTAGAATCGATTCACCGAAAATATTTGAATCTCAAAAGACGACCAATTAATTTAAAGAAAAAATGTTAAGTCCAGTCGCTAAAACGAATCTCTACTATAATTAAATAGCCGGACGTAGTTGCTAGATTGACGTTGTGGTCAGGTTTGTATGTAGTGATGACCCAGATGAACTACATTGTCTGGAACACTTTCTCTTCTAGGTCTTACCATTTCAGCCAGGTTGGTTGGAGAACGGTAAAACTCAAGGCGGTAACTTAAGATATGAGGGAGAAGTTATGCCGGCGTTTGGATATGACGGCAGTAAGGTGTTCTCAGAAATCAGCATTTACAACGAGGTTAGAAAAGGTCGGGCTTAGAAATAGTACACCTAATCTTGCCCAATGGACTTCTAACGCTAGCGTTAGAGCTTTTGCAGTACGCAGCTAACACGTCAAGAACCTCTCGTTAGATCATATTTGACCGAAATCAAGAAGATATCACGTGAAATCTGTGGTCACATCTAAAGGCCGACAAGACTGTTAATAATGCAGTTTCCTCTCTGAGTATCTCAAGAAATATCTCCCCACAGGGTGGGTAATCGGGCAGTAAAAACCACCCAGACAACTCATGAGCTGGATTTCAGTCGTTTATGTGCTGTCTGAATAGGCGGGACGTTGAAAATTCAGAAAGATAGGGACAAACGCGGTTGCCCCTCTGTCTTCTCGCTCTATGCTCCCATCGATAGGAGTTTGCATGTAGTAAAGGATAAGTTTTACAGAAAGCTTTTGCTCTCCTACAAAAAGCCAAACACTTAAACGTCATAATCATAGAAGGCAACTTTAGTGCCTAATTATGTAGTTGAAACGAAAGTGGGAGATACTTAGGTGGATTTTAGAGTCCCAACTCAACAAACAGTCAACGGCGACTGTCTACTACAGAAAGGTTCAACGAATGGTTTAATCTTAACAACCACTAGCTTTAAACATAAAGATATCGTCTAACATGGTGACTTCCACAACAGACTAAAGGAAGGACGCAGATACACCACACTACCATAGGTCATCTTTGAACAGACCCGATAGAAGAATACCTATCATCTTAGGGTACATGTTTAAACTTTGATCATGTTGTAGTGCGAGCATGTATGTGTTTTGGCCTTACGAAATACATGAAAGACATGGCAAGAAGATCGATTAAAGTGATGAAGCAGTTAGTCAGTCGCCAAAGTTATGTCTAACCCGATCTACGAGAGACGATAGCCAAAGGGTTAAAAGAATCAGTGGATTTTAATGGCGTCTAATGAAGTGATCGATGCTCAGAAACTCATTCTGTTGGGCTCAGAACACGATGAGTGGAAGCAGCCTGAACGTAGACTAGCAAAAAGTCTACGCAATGACAGTGAACGGTAGAGAGCAGATAAAGCAAGACCGATGGAAAAGGCGGTACCGAGTGATAATATTAGATAACAGTTTAATCGTTCTCCAAATACCTTTCAGTTGCCTACTTTTAAAAAGCAACCTGAATGGAATGTCAATATAAGCTCATGATCCCTATTGAAATAGAAAAAGCTACATCAAGAGAGATAAACTAACTCGAGAGATCTTTAAGGATGGTAGTCTAGTTTTGGCGATATTAGCTAGAATATGGGGACCGGACGTGATCTCATCTGACTAGTCTCGATAGCTGATCCTTATAGACTAGATGTGTGGCGCATATATATCTGGTGCCCCCTTGTATCAATATTTGTGTTCAAATAAATAAATAAATAGACTATAAGAAAGGAGAAAAGTGCTCTTGTGATAACCATAGAGGAGTCAGTTTAAGTAAATATCGTGTCTAAAATATTAGCCTCAACAGACCTCCAACGTTTGTTTATCTAGGGATCATAAAGGGCAAACCTGAGAAAATAAGGCAGGTTTCAGACCTGAACATGGATGTACACACTAAATATTCACTCCTCGTCAGGTTTTAAGACGTAGACATACATACCAGTACCGGAAAATAGTTGTATTCTTCGATCTTAAGGATGTATTCAGCTCCACTAACAGAGGTTTTGTAACAGATTGTCATTGAAAGGAGTACCGAAGTGGATAAACTCTGTAAAGTATCTAAACTTGAACACTGCTGATTGTTAGAGCTTATGGAGACCTGTCATAAGAATTTATAACATGAGTGTCTTTTAAGTTTGTCCACTTTCTCCATCTTGACTTAAGTTTGTCATAGACATCTTTTTTAGCGATCACGCTTTTGTCCTCTGAATTTTCAGGGATTGATCTACCACTTGACAGACTTACTTATTGACCTTGAATAGCCAGATTATATAGGTCTACCTGGCAAAAATGCTGGCTTAATGCAGGATTTTCTAATTGCTTTAAGCAACAATCCAAATATTCTTGGGATGTGTAATTCCCTTTAAATGAAAAATTTTGCTTCAAGCCTCATCCGTACCGTCACCCAGCTGATCATAAGGAGTGAAGTGGATGGGCGTGTTGATTACTTTATTTACCTTGAAAGTCACTCCCGTCTTGATGGTTGATGTAATTAAATCTCAGAAACGTTGGTTGGCTTTTCTGAACTTGCGCCACACAGTGATTTCAAAACTATATGTCTTTTACTAATTTACGGTATGCATTTTCCCTTCTAGAACAAAGAGATTTGATCAAGATATTCTGTTATCGTGAACGTACAGCATCACACAGATGTGCGTTAACCAAAGTCTAGCGATATATTAATATTTAATTTCACATATATAATTTCATAAACTGATAGCATTTTGTTTACCTTGGGAAATTTCGAATTGACAACAGCAACAAGGGCCGAAAAAACATGGGTGAAAGTTGGTGACGCCGATTGTGCGGTTAAAAGGGATCTAACGAATAAACCTCTACCTCTAACAATATTTTCCATAAGTAGTTGTTTGACAACTTCAGATAAGTTGGATACATTCACTTTATTAATAAAACCATGGATGGATTTTTTCAGTGCTTCCCAAGCAATTCGTTGATAGGCCTCAGATGATTTGTCAGTTATCTGGGCTTGCATTTGGCGAAGTCGACCAGGGGGAATATACGCACCACCAGTTTTGCCAAATATGTTAGCGAATTTGTCAGGGTTTTTTGACGAATCATCTTTCTTAGGGTTCTCCGACACAGCGCTACTCTTCTCATTTTCTGGACTATATCTAGCACGTTTAGTCCCACGATCCATTGTGACAATAATTGTTGAAGAACTGTATCAAGTTGATTAGGTTCACTATTACTGTCAGCTTGGTATTGCTAAAAAGACACATACACGACGACGTTAGGTTACGCATAAAACAGATACCCAATGAGTGTTTGAACAACCGATACGGGATTATAACAAGGAATACTTATGTATATAAATGAAGAGGATAAAGTACAGGTGGTAGTTTAAACTATTCAAGAAAGTATTCATTATCAGTTTAAAAATAATTTTTCTCAAAGCAGAGTACAGGACAACCCCTTCGCTCTTAATCTGCGATAAAAACAACGTGCTACAGTTATATACCCTTGAGAATCCAACAATCGTGCTTATGAATTACTAATGTTGGCACAACATATGAGATATAACAATGGTGGAAATCACAGCAGCTTATGCCGTCTTTAATCATCTTTAGTGTCGTGATGATACCAGTTCGTTCTTATAAGGTAGAATACACAACACATTGTAAGTTCTCCCCCATCTCCGTGAATCCTGGCATTGAGAGAACTAACCAGTTTCTGAATGACTACTAGTATTTAGTGGTATCATGCTAATAACGCGGAATCTCGGTAGTGTTTAGGATCGGTGATAACAACTTAAGCTATTCTATTATTTTTCTAACACTAATTTTAGTGGTTAAATCATGTTTCAGGCATATTATTTGGGCTGCTTCCACACCACCCATTATTTACGAGCTCCGTAAACAGGTAGAAAAAGAGGTTTTTAGTTTATGGCACGTTGTCATGGCATGAAAAACCGCACAGTATTAACAACTTTCGCTTCATCACAACTTAGTTGGAATCCCAAAGATAGTACAACTCTGCTTTGGAACGTTATTAGGTATGGTTTAAAATAAAACAAGTGGATATCAGGCTGTAGTTTTCAAGTACATTATTCAGAGACATGAGATAAGTATTTCAGCTTGAAGAGAACTTTCAAAACTCCCTTATGAACTGAGGTTCATCTAATATTGAACACAATTCTTATTTACCTATCGTATGAATTCCATTTAATTTTTCACTGCTAATTTGTTTACGTGGTGAAACCTTTCCATGCTGTGTCAAAGTCTACATTTGCTACACATAACTAAATCCGTATTAAGCTAGTAAAAATATACCGTCGAATTTCAACAGTAAGAAAGTACAAATCAATATCTTATCTTCACACAACCAGTGTAAACCCAGTAACATCAGGTTGCACGAATTCGTGGTTCCAAACAGTATGCAAAAAGGCCGTTCCACCTAAAAAATAGTAACTCGGTAAGAAATTTATATCATGTAGTTCGTACTAATCAGTACGTTACAACAACACCGACTTTAGACACATGTAAGTGTTGACAAAGTGGGTGTTATAAATGGTTTTTAATGTGGTCACTAAAAGCTACTGAAGCAAAAACAAGAATGATAAAATACAAACATTGACAATGGAGGATCGCCCTTAATACAATAGATCTAACTAACCTCAAGTAGCCAATGTACAGAATTATTTGGAATAGCGCCTAGTAGGCAATATCCAATACCTATATCACGAGCTTGTATAAATCAACCAATTTCTCTGCACTCGCTTCTTTTTGTTTCAGTGTGGTTCCAAGCATTTTTGTAATTTTCAGTGGGTGGTAGTCCGCTCTGCTGAACTAATTGAAATCACTTTGGTAGTTATTTGTGTTTGTATATCTTGTAATCTGACTGGGCTCGAGTTGTGCCTACCATGGTTGCGTGTTTGGCTGAGCTCATTTTTGGCCATTATCATATACTGGTGGGGGTTGATACGGCTGCTTCCAACTGGGTCATGTGAATCTCTTTTATCAATTCGGTTGTTTCATTTTTCTACGCTACATGTGAAGCCCGTGATCCAGAAGCCCTCCAGCTTTCATATACTCTGTTTACCTCAGTGGAGACTACCCAGTTCTCCAGGTAATTTCGGGTCAAGCTATAATTGGGTCAGTTGATCCTTGGGGATGTAAGAATTTGCCGGTATTATCACACCTCTCTTTTCTGCTGGAATAAAAGGTTTAATCAAGTGTCGTTGACTTGCTATGAAATGACTACCTAATATATTTGAGCTTATTTCGAAGTCGCATCGGCACATATACCGACTAGTAACATCGATTTTAGGACAAAAAATCACCTCATAAGGTGTCAAGAGTCGTAGTAACCACGTTGCTATGGCTTAAGCGTATTAATTATAGGGTTCTGGAACCTTTGGCATATATATTACAGACGTGTTCAGTAGCAAACAAATCCTGGCTAATCATGGCACCTAGATCATTCCATCTAGATAGCAGGTAGCTCAGTTTAGTCACTGTGTATGTATTTGTACCTTGATGACCAATATGTATCTAAGTGCACTTGGAAGCAAATTAACTGAAACTAATGCGACAGACTGGCTAGATTACTCTCACTGGATACAGTACTCCAAAAAACATGAGAAGGAAAATCAATTGATTCACACAAGACCTGCACAAAGATTTTAAATACTGGAAAACTGTGTTTCTGCCTATTAACTACTTACCTTTTTAGTCAAAGAAAAGATCGACTGAGTTGTCTGAATCCTGGTTTACATTGGACGGTCTCTGGTAAGCTCATAGAGGTTGGCTTTTTATAGACGCCTGTGTTTGTACTGTTAAGAAACAACAGAACAATTTGGAAGTCATACGGATCGGGGCGAAATTTCTATTAGTTACTTTCCGACTTCCCAAACATCTCTGTACACACCCATGGTGGCAGTTTTGTTATTTGAACTGGTTACTACTTATTGTCGCCGGTGGCTTTCACTGTTGAAATGAAAATCGGAATCAGTCAAGTGAGTTAGATCACCATGTTTGGATGGGTTGTACGTAGTCTTCTCAGCCCATATGTCAGATAATTACCTGATTCATGTGGCTAGAAGCGACGGTTATATGATGTACTGACATCAGTGCATAGAGCGGATTCCATAAAATTGATATGAAAAGTGTTCCACCGTGGTTAAGATAGAATCAGCTAATATATCGGATTAGTCATTTGTCTGTAATAGCAGGGTTTTGCCATTTTCATTAGCCCACCATACAGTATAATAGGACATTCGTTTTAAGCAGGCTTCATTGTGATCATTCGTGCACCATGTCTGTGCTTGTGTAATCACGTCAGAATATCCCTATTCCACTTTGACTTCGGATTTTTGAGTGTTCACTTGCCTCAAGAGCATTTACTCACAAGAAATCGTCAACAAACAACTAAGGACTCTCAGGTCTGTCGTCTAACTCTTCAGCCGAGGGTTTAGCTCTGTAAGATTGTCTCTTTTTTTTACGATACTCTGTTGGCTAGCCCTTTAAGGTTCAAACATTGCGATCAGAAATCATGTACTACCAATTCCAAAGCGCTTCTAGCGCATCACAAGCATAAAAGTGGAGAAGATTATTGTAAGTCGTTAACATCGAGGACTAATGTGGATATTAGACATTGGTTAAAAATTCGCACCGGATTTAGTTTGTGCGTAACATGGGACGAGTTCATCCTCTTCGTGTGGTTCCTTGTGTTATTTATTTCTTATTTCTACTGAACTCTCAAAATGCACAGAAAGAACCAAGCTGCGGCCGCGCAAAAAGTTGTAGTGAATGCATGGGGATACGTCCAGCCTGTTCGTGGTGTAGTGCTGATGAATTTGATGATACGAAAGAAGGTCCAGGGTTCCGATGTGCTCCATCTTCAGTCTTATTGGCTCGTGGATGTCCACAAAGTAGTATAGAGGACGTGGAATCTGTGTTCTTAGGTGAGCGCTCTATTTACTAAGACAGTGATTCATATGTCATATATTTCACTGACAATGTCTTGGTTTATAAGCAAGCTTTGTTATTCGCTGTCATTTTTCCTATTTCCTTAAAACGTAGGGTAATTATTGTACGTCATAAGCAATGGAAAACAGGACATCGCACACATGTCTTATCCGAATCGTAGTGACGAGAGGTAGAATAGCTTTTTAAGTCAGTCCCATTTTAAGACACGAATGTGTCGATAAATGGTGCTTAAACAACATTTCGAGTCAAATGGTCCAACATACTATCGATTAAAGTAAAAACACAACTAGTTGGTCACGGGTTTACGAGTGTTCTCATATATTTCTTTCGGTTTTAAGAACATGGAAAATGACGGCATATCAGGTTCAAAAGTAGTTTAAAGTATGTAATTACTTCACTTCTAGTCCTTGATGATAAGGCGAACAGTTTTTGCTTGCATAGTCTTGTTATATGGGAGCTTTGAGACTCCAGAAACCAACGTGGTTGGGGTTTATTGAATTCTTATCCAATAACGGTCTATTTTTCACTTAAGTGCAGGTTGTGTATGTGGAATATTCAAATTTCAATCTAGCAAACACTTAAAACGTCAAATATTCGATCAGTTTTCCACTCAGACAACTTAAAGCTAATCCGTTCGTCCACAAAATTAGTTTTTTGAACTCTGACACTTTTTAACTTACATAGTAATCTGGCATGAGTCCTTGTCAAAAGCCTTACCGAAATCATTTGCGGTTATATTCACAGGCAGATTTTTGCTCCAACAGTCACACTAGCTTTTGTGTCAACAGTAGGTTCGTGGTACATAAGTAAAGTGTTCTATAATCATGTTGCTTTCCGGAAAGTATCAAATCTTCATCCCGATATTTGAATAATTCTTTACTAATCTCACATTTCGATAAATATGCTAGTCAAACTTAACGATAATTTTCAGGGTTATGCCACACACCGGTTTTGAAGACGGGACTTACTACATCGTTTTCTCATTCGCCTGGTAATCTATCTCGGATTGCAGAAAGTCAAAGGATTTTCCATGACAGATGCTAGTTCCTTTAGTAGCCTAGGATGGTCCCGTTGTTGGGGCCTGTAAATGCTGTAATGTGTTTGGAGACGTATTATAAAGTGCGAACTAGTTAAGTGTCTCAGTTTCGTTTATCCTGTAAGCCTTGACTCAAGTGTCATTCCTAACTTTACGCTTGCCATATTTAGATTTTCACCAGGTTTGATAAAATTTTCCTCCTTTTAAACATATTGGTTTCTTCTTGCGCAGATGAAGTAAGGTAACAAACTGACGGGTATTCATGATAGGTCCCACCTTTACTGTGAGTTTGGGTTAAGTGCTACGTGTTGATTCGTAACCAAAATGGTGTCTACCACCATAAAAGAAGTTTTCATTTCATTTGTGGTTCGTGTCATTAGTGGTTCGAAGTTAGTTGCTACTTAGAAATGTGTCAATATTTTATCCAGTTCTGTGTGCCACGCAAACAAATGTTGGGCGCCTCCACCATAGGTGTGCCTGACATCTGGTTACCTGGCGTTTGCCATGTAAATGAATCTTTGGATGAAAATCATCCAAGTTACATACATCTATGTTTTTAATAATCCAAGGAGTCGTTTCATCATTCTCAGTTTTTAGTATTCTGGGAGAAATGGGCTAATTTTTAACCTTATTTGTTGTTTTGACTATAAATTTGTGTATGATAAATATTTTCAGATCATGGGGTTCCTCTTGATCAAGCCAGTTTAGCCGAAGATATACAACTTACTCCACGATCACAATCAATAAAGGTCAGACCTGGAGGGACTATGATGGTCAATTTCACATTCCAGTCTATTTCGGATTACCCCGTTGACCTTTATTTTTTGACAGATCTCAGTTATACAATGATTGATGACTTGGAAACAGTTTCTCGTTTGACTAACGATATCGTGTTAACTATGCGTAATGTAACAAAAAAGTTGCAGATGGGATTCGGCGCCTTTGTAGACAAACCAGTGTTTCCCTTTGTTGTGCCGACTCCAGAATACCTTCGAAATCCATGTTTGAATGTTGGTACTAAAAATCTCCATTGCGATCCTCCATTCTTGTACAAACACATTTTGTCACTAACCGATAATTTTGAGGAGTTCCGCGAAAAAACAAAAGTAGCACGTGTAAGTTTTAGTCTATCTGTAGCTTTGTTTATGATCTATCCGCACCGTACTAAAATTTTTGTATAGCCTGTTTTTTGGAAGTGTCTCAAGGTGTGTTGCGAAAAAAATTATAGCCTTTCTTGGATTGAGCGACAAGTTTCCATCTGCACCCATTACTTTAGAATGATGGTTTCGTGTATTTCATAGACCCATTGGGGTTATACTAGTCTAAACATTTGCTCATTGGATTCTTGCTATGATACAACGGTTAGTTGAAAATCAGTGCAGTTGTCAGAAGTTATTTTATGAATAATAGAAACCATAACTCTAACAGCGATGTTAAGCACGAGTTTTTAATGTTGACTGCGCCCTTGCGAAAATGATGGTCTTTCGTAGGTGAGTCAAATTTGTGGTGATTTCACCTTCCAACTTTAGTAAGAAGGATATAATATTAATTTATTCAGATAAACGTATATCAAGTTTTGAGTCTCCGTCCCTTGTGAATTCACTTAAAAAGTAACTGAGAGTTAGAAAAACCCATTATTTCGAAAAATGAATTCGACGGGTTCCTAACAAGTACATTTTGCACTGTGGTTGCTCACCTAAATTG